TCCATAGACTTACTACTGTCCCACAATGGGGCATATAATTATTACCATTCGCAAACAATGAGCTTATCCATTTCCCACTGTAAAAAAAAAAAAATCTACCAGCTGGCAGCAAACAGAATACAGCCAAATATAATGCTTATTTCAATGTCTCGCATCAGATGAATCAAGCAATTTTTAAAAACATATTTATGTACTGCCATTTAATTAGCTTTAAATGAAACTACGGTTGTGTATAGTACCCTTGTATCTTTTGTGCAAAATAATGTATATGATAATCATTGTAGGCAGTGCTTGGAGTGATGCAGGATACCATCTAACTTCTTTTCAAGAGGACCCGAAAACCTCCTGCTACCTTTTATACACTTTAAACCACTTAGGACTACGCCAAGTATCTTACTCTCTCTTTCTTCTTCCTTTCACTCCAGTACAGGTAGCAATATGTGACACAAAGTGACAACGTAACAAAGAATCACACAAGTTTTTCCACTTCACTTTCCATAAACAGAGTAATTCACTAATTCATTGCTCTGAACGACTCGGAAGGGAAAGGTCCAATAGATTATGTAATAAATATTTACGGCAGCTAGGGACAGGGAACAGAAACTAGATATTTTTTCTTAAAATGTCTTGTCAAAGTTAGTCAGGAAGGAGATAAAGGAGAACATGGGTGGAGCAAATGAACCTTCTCTCTACTAGCTCGGTCACTGTAACCGAATTCGTAATCATTAGAGCTCCCATAATATAACTTTTAATGTGGTGTACCTATCTTCACGAAATTTTGCAATTAGTAAACTATAAAACTTCAGAGAGGCTATTTCAGCCTGATACAATTATACAAATACCTATTAGGGTCTCTTATCTTTTCTTTTATAAATTCAAGTTCACCATCCCGTCACTTTTTTTCCAGCTACAGAAATTTCACAAACCATCCCCTTCTACTTTTCCCACACTTCAAGCACTAACTGTTTTTAAAATTACAAAAATCTGTAAACAGTTAGGTTCGTTGATAGATTTAATATTTCATTCTCAATGTATGAATCACATACTTTTAACTTTTAAATAAAAGCAAAATACTAAAGGTTAAATTCTACTTGTATTTTGTGGACAGGGCAGGAGAAGGTAGATTTGTTAAGCATTTTTTCCTAAGACCATTTTTTTCAACAATTCCGCACCCTTACTTTACTATATTGCAGGTAATACATCTTCTTCCCAAACATTATAATGTGGCTAATTAATAATATATATATATTCTTCTAAAACCTATGTAAAGTAATTTACTTTTTATAGATTAACATCAAATATTAAACATATTGTTGCGTCAGCGAGTCACATGACTACAGTGACGCCACGTTCTAGAACTATCCTGTACTTTGGCGAATGCTCTAGTAATTACTAGATATAGGGTAGGCTGGTATATAAAAGAGGGGAATGTAATGTGTGCGTAGATAGTGAGTAATTGAACTACAGTTACAGGGTATTGTTGAAGTTAACGTTCGTTCGTTATAGTGTTGTTTTAGCGCGAGTATTGAGATTAAGTGTATCGCAGAGTTATATTCGGAAAGAATAAACCAGTTTTATTAAGTAAAGACTCGTGTCGTTAAAATTTCGTCGGAACAAAGTTACGGAAAAATCAATTAACAACGGAGACGTAACAAATTGGTGTCAGAAAGTGGGATAAAAAAAAATGGAAACGAGAAGCGGCAAATCAAACTACAGCATAGCAGACGTGATGGCAGTAATACAAGAGCACCAAAAGAAACAAGAAGAACGAGAAAAGAAACAAGAAGAGGAGAGATTACAACAGTTGTTGGAGGAAAAACAAAAGAAACAAGAAAAAAGATTACAGAAGTGGCAAGAAAACCTGCAACAGTGGCAGCTTGAACAACAAATAAACAAGAAGATAAATTACAGCAGTTGTTGGAGGAAAAAGAAAAGAAACAAAAAGAACGAGAAATTAAACAAGAAAAGAAACAAGAAGAACGAGAAAAGAAACAAGAA